TTTATATGCTATAACACTGATTGCCTCAGGAATGGTGGTAATAAAGGGGAGGGAGGGCGATTACTCCTTTTTTCTTTATACATTTTTCAATTTTGTTTTTATTTATTTCAATGAACATATAATACTTCAATAAAACATGAGATAAGATAAAATATGTATATTTTTATAAACATAAGCCTCCCAATAGATTTTTTTCACTTATTTTTCTTTAAAATTCAGATAAATTAGCCTCAAAATTGCAAATATTTTTTGGCCTAAAAGTTTGAGAACAAATGCTTTATGTTTCTAAAAATATTATTCATCATAACAAAAACCAAACATTTAAAACCTATACAACTTAAAGATAAATTCCATATTATCTTTCAAACTGTTAGCAATTTATGAAGTTGTAGTTGTACCTACAGAAATTCAACACAATTTCATTTGTATAATATTTGAACTCAGATATTGAAATGTATAAGTCAGGAAATGCAAAATGATGGTTCCCAAAGCTACCATAACTTTCTTTCTTATGCATATGTAGTTTATTACATGATTGCACAGAGTGTTAACTTTAATGCCTTAATACATATGTGCAATTTGGCTGACTTATTGCTGTTGTGGGAGCTATAATTTAGAATTTCCTGATATTTTGTATGTGTAAGATCTCAACCATAATGTTAAATACAGCTTTTTAATTTAATTTAAAATTTAGTAGTTTATTCAAATCTATTCACACTACCCCATTTTCCTACAAACACCGTCCTCTGAGAAATGTAAAACTAACTTGCAGCTAAGAAATCATTCCACTGCTACGATTTACTCTATTAGATCATAATTAGTACCAGTCTGTGGAATAATCCAGTCTTGCAAGTCGTTTAAAAAATAATTAGGAGAGTAAAATTCGATTGGCTTGAAAATGCCTTGGTTTTCTCTATACCACTTACTAATGCCACCACACTTCCTACTACTGTGTTCATTCTCCTTTCCACAAACTGGGTCAAAGACAAATCTGTACACTGTAAAATCATTCAGCATTGCTTCCAAACCAGAGCTTTATCCAAAAATCAAACAAAGAAAACAAACAGGCAGAAAAGAATGAATTTACTTATGCCCTGGATATGTAAATCAGTGCTTATTTTCAGGGCTTAAATACATTTGTCTTCCATAACTATATATATTAAAACATACCTAAGATAAAGTCATAACTCCAGTGAAAGATAAACTGGCAGGTCTTTGCCTCTAACATGTACAGAAAATATACATATGAAAGTGTCACCGATAATAGCTTTGTCCTTTTGTCCAGCTAATAGGTAGAATTGACTAGTTTAAAGATATTTATGCCAGGCATGCCTGAAATACAGCCCAGTACACTCTTCTGCCCAGACACTGTGATTCTCCATTAAATCCTACCAGATTTACACACTGGCTCTATGAAGTCTTGATGTTTGGACAATTTGAAAATAATAGCAGCTGTAGTAGCAAACTCAGCTAAGGTTTTCCTCTTACATATATGTAGGTCACTACAAGAATTTGGGGACATGCTGTGTTACTTTCAATAAACACAGGTGATAGCATCCTTTCTGATTTACCCATCCAGGTTTCATCTCACTCGGGTTATTGGTGTTGCTGGGAGGGCTTCATTTGTTCCCATCTGCATGGATTTTATGTTTCTTGATTTTTCTGTATCTCAAAACTTTAATACTACATGGCTTTCTGCAAAGTGGTGTATTACAAAGCATAAGGGATTAGGAATTGAGCTACCAACTTGAGTCCTTGCTTTGTATTATAATAACTGATATGACTTTGGGCAACGCACACTACCCAGGAGTCATACTTTTTCTTTTTAAATTTCAGGTTATTGTGAGTGTACAAACAAGTAGGTCATAATTTTTGCATTTGTTTGGTATAGTTCCTCTTGTAGTTGTGTTCTACACCAAAAAGGTGTACCATATACCCTTACCTTGTGCCCTTTAAATGGGAGGACCCAATCCCGGCCCCCCCTTTCCCTTATGTGGAATTAAGTTTTAATTCCCTCCAACTTGAATGGAATTAAGTTTTACTCCTATGTGGGCATGTGTTAGATCCTCTACTGGCTTCATAATAAAATTGAGTACATTGGATACTTGCTTTCCATTCTTGTGATACTTTATTAAGAAGAATGTGTTTCAACTTCATCCAGGAGTTGTACAGGTTAATACAAAACATGTAAAGTCATCATGTTTTCTTACAGCTGAATAGTACTCCATGGTATACACATACTACAGCTTGTACAGCTTGTACATGGTATACACATACTACAGCTTGTACAGCTTGTACATGGTATACACATACTACAGCTTGTACAGCTTGTACATGGTATACACATACCAGTTGTACAGGTTAATACAAAACATGTAAAGTCATCATGTTTTCTTACAGCTGAATAGTACTCCATGGTATACACATGTTAATCCATTCTTGAGTTGATGGGCATTTGGGTTGTTTCCACATCTTGGTGACTGTAAACTGAGCTGCTATAAACAATCTAGTGCAAATGTCTTCATGAGAAAATTATTTTTTTTCTTCTGGGTAGATGCCTAGTAGTGGGATTGCGGAGTTAAATGGGAGGTCTAACTTGAATTCTTTGAGGATTCTCCATACTTCTTCCCAAGGAGGCTGTATTAGCTTATAGTCTCACCAACAGTGTAAATCTTCACACCCAGGAGTCATTCTTAATACAACCATTTAATCCTTGAATTCTGTCAATTCTATATTTTAAGTATCCCAAATTTCTCTTTTCTCTATAGCCATGGCTACTACTACTCAGGTCACAGCTACCATCATCTCTTTTCTGGACTACTGTAACTATTATTTGTTGACTAGTCTCTCTGTGTCCCTTCTCTTGTTTTGCCCTTCCAATTTCTCTTTTTTTGGGACAGAGTTTCACTATGTTAACCTTGGTAGAGTGCTATGGCGTCACAGCTCACAGCAACCTCAAACTCTTGGGCTTAAGCAATTCTCTTGCCTCAGTTTCTCAAGAAGCTGGGACTACAGACACCCACCACAACAGACGGCTATTTTGTTTTTGTTGTTGTAGTTGTCATTCGTTGTTGTTTAGCAGGTCCAGGCTGGGTTCGAACCCACCAGCCCCAGTGTATATAGCCAGTGCCCTAACCACTGAGCCATGGGCACTGAGTCATTGCCCTTCCAATTTCCAAATCATTTTCTATACAGCGGCCAAATGACTTTAGAAACTGAAATCTGACCCACCGCATACAGGACAGACTTTTTCTTCCAAAGGACTACAGGACCCTAAACTAAATGTCTCTCAATTATCTCTCTAGCCCCATCAGGAGCCATTCTTTCCCACCACTCACCAGTCTCCAGCCCAGCCAACTACTCTCTATTCCTCCAACATCCTTAGCTGTTTTCCTTCTCAGGAACTTTCTAACATGGTGTGCCTTCTGTTTAACTCCTGCTCATTTTTCATATTGCAGTTTGAGTAAATATCTGCTTAGGGAAGCATACCCCAACCCTTCCTTTTATCAGTGAGGATAACCATTATCTTTGCTTATAGTATCCTGTTCTTTCTCACATGTTAAATGGAGATTAAATACTAATTTGTACAATTGCCTATTTAAAGCCTATCTCCTCACCTAGACTGAAAGCTCACCGAAGACAGAGAAATGTCCATTATTTGTTCACTTAATTTTGAGGACCTAGCAGGTGATTAGTATGCCTTAGATGAATTTAACACAAGTATCTCAATCTCTTCATAAAATGGGGTTAAAAATTTTTGTTCTACTTGCATCTTGGGTTTTGTCTGTGGAGCCGGTGAAACAACATGCATATACAGAAAGTGCTCTGGACAATATAAAGTACTTTACACATAAAATGCTGTTTACATACATGAATACATATGTTTATCTTCCTATGGGTGCAGATTTTGTGTCATGAAAGGGGCAATTGATAAATGATCTGTGAATATAAACATTTACCTGTGAATATATACACAATTGGTATCTCCTCTTACAGTTTTTTAGAAGGTGGGAATGGGGTTTGATAAATTGTGGCATCCTCATGGATCAGCAGTATGTGATAACCTTTAAGCTATAAAAACAGGCTGTTCTGTCTACTGAAATTCCATCTGGAACAAGACTTCTCTATGCTAGAACTAAATCAAAGTTCACACAAAAATATTCTACATATAAGAAGATCTTAAAATATTTATTCTTTGAAAGTAAATCAGAATGCTTTTTCTTTAAGACCATTTCAAAATCCGAAGGCACCTATAAGTAAACACGGATATGTATTTCCTGAGATAAAATGTAGTAGCAGTCAAGTAGTAGGAAAAGTAGTACTAGCATATAGGATTCTTGTGCCTGAGATGTAACGTAATGAGTAAGCAGGACTAACCGACAAGAAAGACACCAATAATTACACACCAGTGTCTCTGTAGTAGTAGCGAGCTGTCTTTGTGCCATAGGTACGCCCTTCATGTATTAGTTAATTAACCTTTATAGTATCTTCATAAAGTACGTTTAGTTGTTTTTTTTTTGCAGTTTTTGGCTCGAGCTGGGTTTGAACCTGCCACCTCCAGCATATGGGGCCAGTATCCTACTCCTTTGAGCCACAGGCACTGCCCAAGTATGGTTAGTTTTTAAGGGACAGGGAACCGAGGTTTTAGAAAATAACGTCCCTTCTCAAGGCTTCACAGCTTGCGAGGGGCATAGTAAGGCTTTGAAGGAAGTCCACTCTCCTGGTGTCCTGTAGAAATCAAGCTCAGAATGGAGTGATCCAGGCACTTCAAGTGGGACTTAGGAAAGGGCATCAACACAATAAATAATACATAGTCAACATGACAGCTTTCAATAGCTACCTCCCCCAAATAATGAACATTTCAACAAAGTGTTCTTACATTGACTAATAAAAATATCTTTACTTATAAAACAGATTGATACCAAGAAAATAAGAACTATATCTTAACAGGGCATTAATTCAGAAAAACCTAATAAAAAAGAATATTTCTGATATCCTACCTCCATGAAGTATTTGTTCCAATTCCACATGGAATAGCACTTCCCCCAAGATATACTGGACTGCAACTAGACGAGATCAACAGATGGAGAAAAATGAAATTACAATAAAAAGGAAACATGAGAAGTTAATTTAGCCTTATTAAGAAAATTGGGGCTCGGTGCCTGTAGCTCAGCGGCTAGGGCACCAGCCACATACACTGGAGCTGGCAGGCTTGAATCTAGCCCCGGCCTGCCAAACAACAATGACAATTACAACCAAAAAATAGCTGGGTGTTGTGGCAGGCACCTGTAGTTCCAGCTACTTGGGAGGCTGAGGCAAGAGAATCACTTGAGCCCAAGAGTTTGAGGTTGCCGTGAGCTGTGACGCCATGGCACTCTACCCACGGCGGCAGCTTGAGGTTCTGTCTCAAAAAAAAAAATTGGCATTGTTGACTCTATGTCCTTGTAATCAAAATTGTATATATTTTCACAGCAAGTCAACTCTTTCAAAGAACAGACAGTTATTCCACTATAATTGCTTTATTGGCTATAACCTGTATATTCAGGAACAGTCAAGGAGTTAAAATGAGCCACAGAAAATGTGTTTGCCAAATAATATAAGGGACAAGGTAAACACTGAAGGATATAACAGAACATTAATTTTGAGAAAATGTTCACGCTTTTTTTTTACATGGCAGAAAATTATTTATAATAGCAATAATCTCCCATTTAATTTCCTTTACACTAAGAGGTCACAGACCATAAGAACACTAAAGATAATTGCTATTAGTCTTTTTCCTGAAGGCCAGTCAATGCTTTGTTGTTCAATGTCACTGTTGTTTGAATGGTAACAGAATCTACTAGACTAAGCTTAAAGTGTTTGCTCACTAGTGTGTATAATTCACCAATGCAATCTCAACTTACCTTTTACCAAAGGCTTGAATGGAAGCTTTGACAGATGTGTTACCTGAAGATTTAGATTTTAATTTCTGTTAAAAAAAACAAAATAATAAAAGGCCAATGAGAACTATAACATGGAAACTAATATTCTTTATTTTATAACAAGAAATATTTTCTAAATGACTTAAATACAAATTTCAGTGGCATTAATTTTTAAGTTTCTAAAATAAAAACAATGATCAAAACCTTTTAAAGGCAAAAGGGAAACAGAAATCTCCAAGGAATTTGTGAATTACTCTAACTTTTAGGCTAGAAAATTGATATACTGCCATTATTAGCATGCTAAGATTTAGAGTCACTTTATAACTCTTCGGTTAATACTAGAGTTCAATGATTTAATGTGAAGAATGTGCTATTTAAAACTTCATTGTAGAAAAATTCAACTAAGAAGGAAAAAAAACCTCAGACGAATGGTACTCATATCAATTAAAATTAACCTAACCAAACTCCTGTGTAACTTCAGAAATATTACTTTTGATCCCATGGAATAGTATCAACCAATAGATGTTTAAAGAAAATGTAGAGCTACCCAGTCACAATCATACAGTAGTTCCTATATGATTACATAACATCATCATCATTAGGAAGCTTTTATTAAGTGTTAACTGGTATATGGTACCAAATAACATAAACCAACCACATACTAGGACCACCGCCAAGGAGAGGAAGTGAGATGGAGAAGCAATTTAAACTATGCACAGACATGCCTTTACTTTACCTACTGGGTGAGGAAATTTAATAGAACCAAAAATATTTCATTTTACCATTTCTTAACTCTTTTTATTTGATGTTAAGCAGAACTGGAAAAATTTTTGGTGTATGTCTGAAAAATATTTGCATGAGTCTCTTTTTGTTTTGGTAAGCATGTTTCATATACCACTCAGACTCACACTTACAACCCTACGCTGGTGCAGTGTGACGGTTGTTGGTTCCTGGGCTTTCCAAGAGCAGTTTAAAAACACAACAGAATGGGAGAGCAGAGGGTGGGATGGGGAGCAATACTTTCAGGGCATACTGTAGCTTCTAAGGACGATGTGGGTGGCCTAGATCCTTCTTTTCCTCATCCAATAAATGTTTTATATAGACCTGCTCTCCCCTGTGAAGGTTGGAAAACTGGGGAGAACTGCCCAGAATTTTCTGCCACTGTTTTATCTTTCCTACCTTTAAAAAAAAAACTCTTCTATTATGTTTATTTCATTGAGTTTTTCCTTGTGGTCTTTGCAAATTAAGACTTTTACTTGGTCTTTTTCTTTTTATGATAAATAAGTAAATAAGGAAAATGGAGACGTGCATAAAGTTTTATTTCGTCATGATTTAAGAGCTACTTTTTTTTCAAATTAGTATATTTTAAAGCCAAATCAGATAAGTATTTTTCTCTTTTTAAAACACCTTGAAATGAAAAGACAGTGCCTCATCATATATAGATACACTATAGTAATTAATAATGAATTCTCAGATAATTAATAGAGCAATAAAAACATTATGTATTTTTTCTACTACTGATTAGTATTACTAATCAGCACTACTATCCAGCACTTACAATATATTGTTTGCAGGGTACAGTTGACCCTGTTCAACAGCAGGGGTCTGAACTGTGCAGATTATTTATGCGTGGATTTTTTTTCAACCCCCAAAACAATCAAAAATACAGTTTTCAAGGAATGTGAAACTTGTGTGTACAGAGGGCTGACTTTTCATATAGGCAGGTTCCACTGGACCAACTGTCAGACTTGAGCATGCTCCGTCTACTGAGGAATTACTATTTATTAATAATATTGTGTTCACATGAATCAGCTGGGTATCCACTTGTTAATTAACCTCAGAAGAACTGAAAATGTTAAATTTAGAGAAATTCAGATCTTAAAATTTAAGTCTGGCTGACAAAATGTAAGTGCCCCCATCTGTATCCTTACCACCGCCACTACTTAGTGATTTTTAGTCCACTGTTTTATCTTTCCTACCTTTTAAAAAAAAGTTCTCCTATTATGTTTATTTCATAGAGTTTTTCCTTGTGGTCTTTGCAAATTAAGACTTCTACTTGGCCTTTTTCTTTTAAATCTAACAAATATATTTCACATGTACCCTATTAATATACACTGCTGGTGTGAAAAATAAATGATACAGTCACCTTAGAAAACAGTTTGGCAATGGGTAGAAAAGTTGGAGATGACAACATCTTATGATCTAGGAGTTCCTCTTCTAGATTTATACATCCTATAGAAATTCTTGTACATGGTAAAAGAAGATAGGTAAATAGGCGGCGCCTGCGGCTCAGAGGAGTAGGGCGCCAGCCCCATGTGCCGAAGG